TGCCGCCCTGTTCCGGCAGCCGCGGAGCCGGGGGTCCGGCCTGCGCTCCGCCGGGGAAGAAGCACCGCCCGCCGGTGCCGGGCCCGCTGCGCCTTTGCCTTCGCTGCCCCGCGGACGCTGGGCTGCGTTTCCCGAGGGGCTGGGAGGCATCGTGCGGGTCTCCTGTCCCTAACCCGGGGTAACAGGCTTGCTTCTTTCCAGAGTCGGCGGAGTGAGGAGTTGTCAGGGCGCTGAAGGAGACGGAGGCAAAAAAGGGTAAACTTATGTTCGGGAGGTAAACTGGTAACTCCAGAGTTCACAGTTGACAAATTATAGCTCTGTTATACTAAACGAGACTTTTCCTGAGATTATCTCGTTCATGTTAATTACTTAATATGGTTGCATAGGTGGCGATCGAAGGCAGAGCTTGGGGGCTAAAAGATAACCTTCCACTCACATGGCCACATTCTTAAATTATCAAGACTTTGGCCTTTAAATATTGAATATTGAACAGGAGTAACATCTGGTAGCTCGTTTGTTTAAGTGTTAGCATAGCTGTTATGCCAGAAACCATGTTTTCCCATCTTATTAACAAGATTACGTAAAAATTGAACACCCTTCTGAATAACATGGGAAGAACACAAAGAAAGTTCTGCATGTGGGAGTGAATATCTTTAGCCAACTCTGTCATCAAGTGGGAAAACAGCATGTCATGGAGCCAATCAATTCCTGTTTTTTAATAAAGGTATAATGAGTCACTTAAGGACATGTCCTTTTGGTTTCTCATTGCTTTTATAGGGCATGGAGGGCCAGGAACTGCCTTACGTGCTGATTGACTGCGTAGGAGGGAAGCATGGGGTATATGAAGACCATGTTGAATTTCTGGAGAAACATTTTCATCTCATCACCATGAAAGAATATCTTGAAAACAAGAAATTTCTCAGCAAAAAGATCAGAGCTATTTATATGTGGTATCACAAACCAGTTATTAATGAAGAGCTGCTCCAGAGCTTGCCTAACTTGAAGATAGTTGCAAGCTCTGGAGTGGGAATAGATCACTTGGACCTGAGCCTCCTCTCCAGCTATGGCGTGAAAGTGTCCAACACTCCATTTGTTGTTTCCACTGACACTGCAGACTTGGGGATGGCTTTGATACTGGCATCTTCCAGGAGGCTCGTGGAAGGTAATAACTGAAATGGTTTTAGTCTTTTTAGAGGAAAGGTGACTCTTCAAAACATGCAGTTAGAAAGTGTGTGCTGATGCAAAGGTAAGCTTAAAAGTAGAAATACAGGAAAATACAGGGATGAGAAAAAAGCTAAGACAAGTCTGTCATGTTGACAATAACTTGCACACAGTGCATACCATTTCCAAACGGGTATATCAGCAAGGTAGATGTGTTCCTTCTTCAGACAGCCCTAAATTCAGGCCTCTTCTCCCTCAGCCCGTAGCCACTTATTCGTTTGACTTGTTCACTGCAGTCTTGCTTTTCAAGTTTTAATAAAAGGGGATTAAAAGGAGATATTTTCAAGGAGGCTTGGAACCTGTCTTTGCCAAGCTGACATGTATCTGAGTCATTACGAACAAGCTGTCCAGAAATCTGTCCACCATGCTCTGTGTTTCTTTTCCTTGCCAACTTTGGTGTATCTGCAAGATAGCTGGGAATCATATTTTGGCCTTACGGAAAGTCTTGATGATACTACAACTGATTCACCAGTTGCACCATTCAGTATTTACAATACAGGCGACATCCGTGGCACTGCCCGTTTCATAAGCCCTGCTGATGACCCACCGTGAGTAAGAAGCTGTGTTGCCAAGGTGCATTTCAATGCCACAATAATCTGTACTGCAGGCAGAGACAGATGATGGGCAGGTGTGTGATGTACATCGAAGGGAGGTTCCTGCTTTGGTCTTACCTTCCTTGTCTGCCAAGGTCTGGATATGTTTCTATCCTAAGCAAGAAATCAATGTCACATGTGGTGTTGACAGTGCAGCATTACTCACTTCTTGTCCAGAAACACAATAACTTTATGTTACTGCTCCTCTGCTTCTGCCTTGTCTTATGATAAAAAGTAAGTGGGGAAAAAAGTAACCAGATGCCAGGACATCCTTTACATGACATTTTTCCTTCTTTTCCCTCCTCCAAGGCTATCAGATGGCGGTCTCCCCTGACACGGAGTATTTCCCTGCTGACTGGCTGGGGGCTGAGGTTTCTGGGGCGACCCTGGGGATTGTGGGAATGGGCACCATTGGCTACAAAGTGGCCGAGAGAGCCAAAGCCTTTGAAATGAAGATTTTGTACCACAACAGGAATCAGAGGTAAAGCTGGTTGCAGCTCCATGGGAAGCCTATTTTGTCACTGCTTTTAAACATTATTTGTACCTTTCACTGTCAAACTGATCTCCCGTTCTCTCTGTGTTAGGGTAGGACAATGTGCTCGCTGCACTATTGTTATTAAATGTTGTGCCAGGAAGCAGCGAGGGCCACAGATTGTGGCCAGGCTCACCCAAAGGTCCAAATCATCAGGTGAGCTCATGGTGATAAGGCAGGGCAGAGGCCAGACCGGGGAGCTGGAGACCAGCCCTGCTGTGGCATCGCTGGGGCAGGGGCTGACGGCCCGAAGGGGGAGCTGCCGTGGGGTCCTGGGATCTGGGGAAGCCCCGGGGGACCAGGCAGCGACAGCCAGGGCTGGCGGTGCCCTCAGGGCCATGACAATAAGTCACCGCCTTATTATTGGCTCTTTATTTTAAGTTGCAAAGCACAGACACTTGCTTCAAGACAGTCATTAATTTCCCAATTTATACAGAAACAAAGTCAGGAAGGAATGGGAGAGAGACATCTTGCTGGTCCCCCTGTGAGTCAGGGCTCCCTGGGCCTTCCTGTCGTGTTGGTGACACTGCAATAGACTGAGGAAAGGAGAAGTAGTCTGGGAGTACATAACTCCTGTGACTTAGGTGAGGCAGGGACGCAGGCAGAGACACCTCGCCTTTGCAGAGCCAGCTGACAGCGAAGAGCCGGACTCGCCAGCCTGTTAGCTGTCTTCTAGATGAGGTGTATGTGCCCTTCACGTATGGCACGGCTCCCATCAGGCCCATCGCATCCTTTTCTTTTGTGGGAATCTGATGGGAGCTGGGCAGTACACGCCCCAACCTTGTCCTGATACGGATCAAATGCACCGGCAGGTCCTGCTGCACGTGGTTTCAGTGAACCAGCACCGATGCACAGAGCAAGCGGAATGCTGCTGACACAAATTTCCAAAGATTTAACCCCTGCCCTGTCTTGTGGCTTTCCTCAGTAATTTTCAGACGAGTTACTTTTCACAGGGAAAGGAATTCATGTCAAACGTCAGTCTTGCTTTTGGGTTGGAAAAGAATCCCCGTTACAACCAGAAGCTGTGACACAAATGCATTTAGTTTATTCCGTGCATTTACATGATACTCATTTCTTACTTTCCATCCCCACGGGTACAGTACTGCACATTTGTGTATAGTGCACTTCGTATTGTGGGAAACAGCTTAACGTTTTTCTTCACTGAGTTTCAGTCAGATAACTTGCTAATTGCTCTGCACTATGGAGCGAAGAAAACAATTAAGAAACCTTTTCTCCAATGGTGATTTGAACTTTTTCCTGTTGCTTACTACTGGAGTTTAATTTTGTGTTTTTCCCCTCAGAAACAAGGAAGAAGAAAGTGCCGTTGGAGCTATTTACTGTAAGAAGATAGATGATTTGCTCCAGCAGTCAGATTTTGTGTTGCTGTCTGTGAACCTGACTCCGCAGACACACAAACTGATCGGGAAGAGGGAGCTGGAGCTAATGAAACCCACAGCTACTCTTATTAATATCAGCAGAGGTAGGGTGCGGAATAAACAAAACTGCATTATGGTTTCCTGGCATAAAAAGACCTGGGAAAACCCAACCCTAATACAGAGTCTGTCGCTCTGGAATTTTCAGTAAATTCTCTGATTACTAGATTATTTAGATGTCCTTGGTCATATCTCAGCAAAACATTTAAGCATTTCCAAAATTATGAGCAAGTAGGTCTCTAAAATGTTAGTGAGCTTGGAGTGTTAGGAGCCCATGTATAATCTCCTACTTAAGCTTTTTATTTATTTAGTGCAGTGTTGTTGCTAACACGCATCAGGGTGGCACAGCCAACTCTGAAGTCTGGCGTTGTACTGTGTTTTATGGTGCTACGGACTGCCTTTTAAAATTCCTGACTCCGATGCACGTACCCAAGCTTCCTCCTCCTGCTTCACCACCCTCTCCCTGCTGCCACTTCTGCTTCGTGAACATCGCTAGCCCTGCCGTTTGCCTGACCACCATGCCTGGAAGGATGGTGAGAGGACAGTACAGAATATGAAAATAAGAGTAGACTTCTTACTGTAACCCAGGTCTGGTTGTGGACCAGGATGCTTTGGTGGGAGCCCTTCAAAACAAAGTTATTAAGGCAGCTGCTCTGGATGTGACATATCCTGAACCTTTGCCAAGGTAGGACATGTATTTAAGCTAAATATAAATGAGTGTAGGTGTGTGGTTCAAGCGAAGTACAAGTTTGTGAGCACGTGAGAAGTTGTATAATTTTGTTAGGAGGAGTACGTGATGTATGTGCCCTGGTCCTACCGAAACGATGCCCACAATCCTTACGTCCTAGCCAAACAAAATTCCCACTGACTCATTTGGAGGATTTGTTGCATTAAAAAACCCGCAAGCTAAGCAGCAGTTTGAACTCCTCTGAGTATGCTTGGGTGATACAATTAGTTTTTATTTTTAATTATTATTTTAAATATTTCCCTGGCTCCCTTCAGGTGACAAAATAACAGATGAATGCTCTGTGAGTGACTAGCTCAGTATTTCTTTTCTTTTCCCAGGGATCACCCTTTGTTAAAGCTGAAGAGTGTTATAATAACTCCTCACATTGGAAGTGCCACCAAAAAGACACGCCACCTCATGATGGAAAACATGACGGAAAGCATACAAGCGGGTCTTAGAGGTCTTCCTATCCCTAATGAAGTTATTCTGTAAAGCGGCCTGCATTTAATGTTAATGCCAGTAGTGTTTATCCTGGTGTGAGGAAATGGTAATTTGATCACTCTTCATGTAATTATCCCATGTGTGTTATACAGGTAAAATGTATAATGCATGGGTTTAGTTTATTTAAATAATGAAAAGTGATTCTGTGTGGAAAACTGCAGTGTTTTGTCATGAACTTCAATTAAAAACTTACGAGTCCACAGTCTTGCATCGGTGTAATTTGTTTTGCTCGCATCCTCTTAAAATTGCCCATCAGCGTAACGCGGAATCGAAGGACGTTTAAGCCATGTCCCAGCTCCTCCACCAAGCTGCCCGGCACTGCGAGCCGGAGCGTGCCTGCCTTCAGGGAGCAGCCTGCCAGGCCTCTCCTGGGGCAGCCCTTTCATGGAAGCGCGGGTTTATTTTCACTTCCAAGATCATAGAATCATAGAATTGTTAGTGTTGGAAAAGACCCTTAAGATCATTGAGTTCAACCGTTAACCTGTCACTGCCAAGTCCACCACTAAACCATGTCCTCGACCACCACGTCTACCCTTCTTTTAAATACCTCCAGGAATGGAGACTCAACCACTTCCCTGGGCAGCCTGTTCCAATGCCTGACTACCCTTTTGGACCTAAACTTCCCCTGGCGCAGCTTGAAGATGTTTCCTCTCATCCTATTGCTTGTTACTAGGGAGAAGAGACCGACCCCCACCTCACTACAACCTCCTTTCAGGTAGCTGTAGAGAGCGATAAGGTCTCCCCTCAGCCTCCTCTTCTCCAGACTGAACAACCCCAGTTCCCTCAGCCGCTTCTCATCAGACTTGTGCTCTAGACCCTTCACCAGCTTTGTTGCCCTCCTCTGGACACGCTCCAGCACCTCCATGTCCTTCGTGTAGTGAGGGGCCCAAAACTGAACACAGTACTCGAGGTGCGGCCTCACCAGTGCCCAGTAACAGGGGCACTATCACCTCCCTGGTCCTGCTGGCCACACTATTCCTGATACAAGCCAGGATGCTGTTGGCCTTCCTGGCCACCTG